CTTGGGGAAGAGGGCTCTAGCCTAGGATAGGGCGTGGCATCTCCCCAAGTTGGCACCTTCTAGCTTTATTGGTTGTTACGTTTCCCTGAGGTTCACTTGCTGAAATGAAAGCTATTTATTCTTTCACCGACTTGGAGACATGCTGCTCACTCATTCTTCTCTGCGCAACTAGTAATGACCGCCCCCTTCCTTTTTTTTTTTTTTTTTAACTTCCACGATCATTACTACTTTTTCTCAAACTGGATTTGAGCTCAGAGGGGCCACTGGAATTGGGAAGTTTCAGTAGAAGGAGGCAAAGAAATAGAATTACAGGTCTTTTTTCTTGTCGTCTTCTGACTCCACACCCTCTGTTTCCTTGGCAGACCCTCTTCTGGTTGTGCCCAAGTGCTCTCTCATCCTGGGCACACACCTGTCACCAGCTTGGCTTGGGCTCCCAGTGGGGGCCGGCTGCTCTCAGCTTCTCCTGTGGATGCTGCTATTCTTGTGAGTTTGTCCCCTATGTCCCTCACGGTCATTTCACCTACCCCTCAGTCTTGAGCAAAGAATGTTTTTCTCTTGGTGACGGAAAATATCATTGGGGAAGGAGAGGGCGAATTGTACATTCAGTCCTAAACTTACCCAGTGAAGGAGCTGCCACCATCCAGACTGCTCAGATTTAAAAGTAAGCTTGCTATAATGGGAAACAAACCAGTTTCTTCCTGTTTTAAGACCCCTTTCCCGCTTCCTCCCCTTTCTGGTTCTTTATTCCTGGAAAGACCAGCAAACCGTCAGCAAGAGATGGTGGGGGTGCTTGAGCTTCCTCTGCCTCTCTCCTGCCCTCACTCTCCTAGGTATGGGATGTCTCAACAGAGACCTGTGTCCCTCTTCCCTGGTTCCGAGGAGGTGGGGTTACCAACCTGCTCTGGTCCCCAGATGGCAGCAAAGTCCTGGCTACTACCCCTTCGGCTGTCTTTCGGTGAGTGGGAGGACAAGAAAAGGAGTTGCTTTTGTAGCTTCCGGCAGGCAGAACCTTACATGCCCATTTTCACTTTTTGCCCTGACCCTGGGACTGACAGTGAGTCTAGATTCCAGGTTTTGGAACTTAGAGGCCCTAAACTGTGACTTGGCTCTCTCTGGCTTAGAGTCTGGGAGGCCCAGATGTGGACCTGTGAGAGGTGGCCTACACTGTCCGGGCGCTGTCAGGTAAGAGGGGATTGTGATTCACAGAAGCTGAGGAGCAAGTGGCAGTTCCACTGAGCCCCTGGGCCCCCAAGCCAGGCCCCTGCCTCCTCTACTACTTTCCCTCCTACATTCCCCGGTAGACCCCCTTCCCCTGCCCTTTGCTCCTTTCCCTCAGACTGGCTGCTGGAGCCCAGATGGAAACCGACTGCTGTTCACTGTGTTGGGGGAACCACTGATTTACTCCTTGTCATTCCCAGAACAGTGTGGTGAGTTAGGGGCAATATTTCAGGTTACGGAGTATCTGGAGTGGTCAGGGAAGCAGGAACCCTCTGCAAAATGCTGCTCTGAAGAAGAATTACAGAAGCTTAGGGGACTTAGGGGGTGTCATAGGAAGGGGAGGGGGCCAGTGAGCAGCTCATGTTTCCTGCACTTAACAGCCCTTGCCCTGATCCCCAGGTGAAGGAAAGGGGCATGTTGGAGGTGCGAAGTCGGCAACGATTGTGGCAGATCTGTCTGAGACAACAGTACAGACACCAGACGGAGAGAAGAGGTGAGTGGTGGGTGGGGGTAGGCCAGTGTCAGGAAGGTAAGAGGGACCACAGTGAGCCCTCCCAACCTATTGTTGTGGCCCACAGACTTGGGGGAGAGGCACACTCCATGGTCTGGGACCCCAGTGGGGAGCGTCTGGCTGTGCTCATGAAAGGTAAGGGGTAAGGAGTAAGGGCGCTGCTCAGCCCACAGCCATCTTCCCCATTGATCGCATGTGTCCATGTCCTGGCCTGCAGTTTTCTGCTATCCTTGGCCTGAGATTCTGCCTCTAGGGTTCCTCCCAATCCCTGGATCCATTTCTTGTAGGAAATCCACGGGTACAGGATGGTAAACCAGTCATTCTCCTTTTTCGTACTCGTAACAGCCCTGTGTTTGAGCTGCTTCCCTGGTAAGTGCTGGGCAGGCCACTAGAAGGTCTGGGTACCTCACCAGCCTTTTTGTCCCAGGCCCATATTCTGTACCTTCCTGCTTCCCCTTCCTGCTTACCTTTTCTCCATCTTCCTCCAGTGGCATTATCCAGGGGGAGCCAGGGGCTCATGCCCAGCTTATTGCTTTCCACCCTTCCTTCAACAAAGGGGCCCTGCTCAGTGTGGTGAGTAGGCCAAGCTGCTGGGAGACTCACAGGTGGGGTGGAGCAGCCCAGAGACTTGGCTGTTACATGGCTCTGCCACATGGCCTTCCTTGAGCCACAAGCTCTGATTGGCTTTTCTTTCTCCTCTCTCTGCAGTGCTGGTCCACAGGCCGAATTGCCCACATCCCTCTGTACTTTGTCAATGCCCAGTTTCCTCGTTTTAGCCCAGTGCTTGGTCGGGCCCAGGAGCCTCCACTTGGGGGTGGGGGCTCTGTTCATGACCTGCCCCTCTTTACTGAGACAGCCCCAACTTCTGCTCCTTGGGACTCTCTCCCAGGCCCATCACCTGCTCGATCCCACTCCCACCTCTAATAAAAAAACTTTCATTGTCTGTCAGTTACCAGACCTGTCTTTGCAGGGAGTCGCAGTGGGGTGTTGCTTGCTACTGAGTTGATTCCAACTCATGGCGACCCCATGTGTACAGAGCACTATTACTCCATAGGGCTTTCAGGGCAGTGAACTTGAATCCAGATCTCCAGGGCTTCCAGAGTACCTCTAGGTGTGTTTGAATAACAACCTTTTGGCTAGTGCTTAACTGTTTGTGCTACCCAGGGACTTCATAATAGGGTATTAAAAAAACCCACTTTTATCAGGTCAACTTTGACTCATTGCAACCTTCCCCCCCACACACACTGTTTGTGATTTGGGTGAAAATTTGTTTTCAACATTTCATACACGTTTTGTTTTGTGATGTTGATTGCAATCCCCACAGTGTAAGAGTTCTCTTTCTGGTTCCTCCCTGTGGTTTTTTTCTTCTGCCCTTTCCTGTTTTCTGAGCTTTTTCTCTATGCACATGCTGCCCTTCTGATCTCCCATGGTTGACTGTACCTCTGTGGTGTGATTTTTCACCTCGTAGGCCTATTGTTTGGCTGGAAGCCACGGGAATGAATTCAATTCCAGGCTTAAAAGAGTGACTAGGACCCATAGTCTTAGGAGTTGCACCAGTCTCTGTCAGACCTGTAAGCCTAATCCTTTTTATGATTTTGAGTTTCATTCCACATTTTTCTCCCACTCTATACAGGATCCCTTTCCAAGTGCTTGGCAGTGGTAGCTGGGCCCCATCTAGTTCTTTGGTCTCAGGGTTGTGTAGGCTAAGGTTTCCATTGTCCACTAGTCCCTTGGACCAATTATTTCCATGCATCTTTGATTTTTTCCACTCTTTTTTGCTCCAGATGAGGAGAGGCCATTAGTTGTATCTTAGTTGGCTGCTTTTAACCTTTTAAACCCCTCGCTATTCACCAAAGTAGGATATAGAACAATGTTTTTGTGTAGTATGTTATGCCAGTTGAGCTTGATGGCACCAGTGACCGTGGTCTTGAGCCCCAGCGACTTAGTCCTTCAAGGTGTTCCGATTGTGGCTAAGAATCACAGTGACCTTTTAGGACACAGTAGAACTGCCCCCATAGAGTTTCGAAAGATGTAAACCTTTATGTAAGCAGACTGTCTCATTTTTCTCTTATGGAGTGGCTAGTGGGTTCAAACTGCCAACCTTTAGGTTAGCAGCCAAATGCTTTAACCACTACACCACCAGAGCTCCTGCAATAGTGTATGCCAAAACCAAATACACTGCCATCATGTTGATTCCAACTCATAGTGAGTTTTTGAGGTGGTAAATCTTTACGGGTATGGTCATCCTTCTGTGGAGTGGCTTGGGTTTTGAACCACCAACCTTCTGTGGTTAATAGTCAAATGCCTTAGGCACAACGCTACCAGAGCTCCTTTGCAATAGTATATATAAAAAAAAAAACACTGCAGTCTCCGTGTCAGATCCGACTCATAGTGACCCCGCCTTGGGTTTCTGAGGTGGTATCCCTACAGAAGTAGATTGCCCAACCTTCCTTCCAAGGAGTGGCTGGTGGGTTTGAACCGCCAGCCTTCTGGTTAGCAGTCAAATGCCTTAGGCACTACCCCACCAGAGCTCCTTTGCAATAGCGTATAGTGGGGAAAAAAGTTTTAAAAGCACAGTCTTTGGGTTAAGATTTTGGTTCTGTCCCTTTTAAGTTAGTTTCTAAATGAATTTAATTTACTATTTAAGGAAAAAACAAACTTGTACAATCAAAACATTTGCCAGTTTAACTATTTTTACACACACAATTCAGTGACGTTAACAATTATATTGTGCAACCATCACTACTATCCGTTTCCAAAGTTTTTCATCATCCTTAACAGAAACTCAGTATCCTGGAAGTAATCCTCTCCACCTACCTCGTCCACCATCCCTGGTAACCACTAATAAACTCTAGTCTTTATTCACTTGCTTATTCTAGGTATTTCCAGTGAAATCATACAATATTTATCCTTCTGTATCTCACTTAGTATAATGTTTCCAAGCTTCATCAATGTCACAGCATGTATCAAAACTTCATTTCTCTGTGCGGCTGAATAATCCATTGTGAGGATATAGCACATTTTGTTCATTTGTTGATGGACATTGGGGTTGTTTCTGCCTGTAAACTTGAGACCATGGTCCTCCTGAGGCTCAGCAGAGGCCTCAGTCCTCAAATGAGGACAGCATGGTTTAGAAATTAGCATGAGGGAAATACCTAACCTAGCAAATACCTGACACATAACAGATCTTTAACTTTCCCAGGTTTGAGCAAGTTCTTATAAAGGTATAGGGCAGTGATAGGGCAAGGACTGGGTCCGCATGAGAGAGACATTTTATTAGGTGGAGGAATTTGTGGGAGGCATTGGTGCTGGGCACTGAGCCAAGGTGGCACGGGCCATAGTCAAGGCACCCTCTCGGGTGTGGTGCCCACCAATGAAGCCACTGGCATGGACAAAGATGCAGCCAGGGATTCCAGTGACCTGGTCCAGGGCCTTGTCCCGAAGACCCCGCCATGGCTCTGGCAGGGGCAACCTACAAGCAAGCAGAAAAGGGGGTTGGTGGGAGCAATGGAGACCTAAGAAACTGAGGGAGAGGGGAGCAGAGGTGAGCCAAGATTGGCAGCCTGTGATAGGGCTGACATAGGCCTGAACGTCTGCAGAGTCTGGGGCCTCACCGGCTCTGGAATGAGTGGGGCTCCTTGGGCACACACTGTACCCGCCACTGTCCAGCGTGGTCAGTGTAGATAACAAAGGCAATGGCCACTGGGGGAGAAAGCTCAGATTCCAGGTGGTAGAGGTGCTCCTTCCAGGGGCATCCGCCTTTGGCAAGTTCCACTATCTTCCCACTTGGGTCCACCTGAAAGGGATGTGGGGCAGGGCTAGAAGGTATAGGGTAGGACAGGAACTGCTGGAGAGCATAGCCTGCCACCTCTCACTGACCCTTGAGCCACAGTGCCTTGCACTATGCTAGTACCTGGAACCGCTGGGCCAGGGCCTCTTCCACCAAGGTCCGGGCTGGCAGCCAGCTTTGCTGGTAGAAGTCTAGTCTCTGTAGAAACTCTTCTCGAACCAGATCCATCGCACGCTGGAACCCTGCCTGGAAATCACGTGGGAGTCACAACTATAGTGCTGCCCCAAATTTTTGACTTACCCTAGAGCATAGGAGGGACAGATGCTCCCGTTTTATCCCGAGGCCTTGCCTACCTCCGTGTCTTGGTTGGGCTGGTTCCAGGCAGGATTAAGTCGAGCAACCCGGGCACTCAGGTTAGTGGTCAGTGCATATCGAGGCTCTCCCTCCCACTGGGAGATCCCGTTGTCCACTGCATCCACTTCCTCCATGAAGTTCTCGTACATCTGAGGCAACAGCAGGAGAAATGCTCTTGAGGATATCTGCCATTTCCATAAAATTTCAGAAGTTCCAAAGTATGCTCATAGACATTCTTTCATTTAATTCTCACAACAGCCCTGTGCTGTGGTCTCAACAGCAACTGGGGTGGGACAGGGGAAACGGGGAGCTCAGCAACTTGTTCAAGGTTAGAGTTCTAACAGTGCTGGGTGTGGAATTTCTAATCCAGTGCTTATTCTATTACTGCAGAGTTCAAGCCAAGGCTGGCATGTGTAGGGTAGGGTCTGCTGACTTGAATAAGGAAGGTCTTGGATTCTTTTGAGGGGACGCTGTGGGAGTGGATCCCTACAGCTGAAGCAGAGTTAAGTTTCCAGGTGGGCTGAGAGTAGGCCATTATGGCATGGTTAATGAGGTATAGGAGGGACTGGCCAAGCACACAAGCCAGGTGGGAGAGTGACTACTGGACAAGATGTCAAGAGCTGGATGTGGTCCCAAGTAAGCCCACAGTGTGCCACACGACAGCAGCAGTTGCTGCATCCTTTGAGCCTCAACTAGGAAGTGGGAAGATAATGCCTCAAGAGTGTGTCTGTTTACTTCATTGGTTGCCGGGGAGAGGAGGGGAGGGAACACTGGGGAAAAAAAAAAAAAGCATTGACCCATGTCACTTTAGTTTTGTGTATTTCACTGTACATAAATTACATTTCAATAAAATGCATTTTTTAAAAGTGTATTTAAAAATAATTTTAGAAAAATTTTAGCTAAGAAAGTAGAATGGCAGGAATAGAACATTATCATTTTTAAAACCCTAATTTGAGATAAAATTCATGTAACAAAATTCACCATTTGACAGTGTACAATTTAGTCATTTTTAGCATATTCACAGTATTGTGTAACCATCACTACCACCTAATTCCAGAGCATTCTTCCCCTCCAAAAAAACTCCATCCCCATAGGAGTCACTCTCCCCATCCTCTCTCCAGGCCTCAACAACTACTAATTTACTCTTTTGTCTACGGACTTGCCCGTTTTGGACATTCATGTAAATGGAGTCCTACAAATGTGACCTCTTGTGTCTGGTTTCTTTTATTTAACAATGTTTTCAAGGTTATGTTGTAACATGTGGCAGTACTTTAGTCCTTTTCATGGCCGAATGATATTCAATTGTGTGGCTATCACATTTTGTTTATCCATCAGTTCATAGACATTTACATTTTCATGTTTGGGGCCATAATGAATAATGCTATGTGAGCATTCACATGACCTCAAGAGTTCCTGAATAAAAACTGTATTTCAGTTGGTCAGTATTTCATGCAAAGATGCCTACAAATACAGACCTACATAGCAATACATCTGTGGTATAAAGAAAAAGTAGAAGTTTTTCTGTGCTCAGAATCTCTTGTCTGGACCCCAACCTGACGCTTAGTTAAAACTTGGGTTTAATTTAGTCAGGTGCTTAGAAATCCTTGAGTAGTGGAAGGGAAAACTGATCCAAGTTGTCTAATACTTTGGTATTCCAAAAGCTTTATATAGCCTGTTACTGTTTTTTTTTTTTTTTGTAGCACACTAAATCTATACCATAAAGGGCCAAAAGTTGTTGTTGTTATGTGCCATTGAGTTGGCCTTGACTCATAGCAACCCCTCCTTGGGTTGCCGAGGCAGCATCACCACGGAAGTAGATTGCCCCATCTTCCTTCTGAGGAGTGGCTGGTGGGTTTGAACCGCCAGCCTTCTGGTTAGCAGTCAAGTGCCTTAGGTACTATGCTACCAGAACTCCTATACCATAAAGGGCCAGAAGTAGGCAAGCCAAAATAGAGAACTGAATTCAGTAAGCTACGTGCAAAAAAAAAAAAAGCTGATTCAGAAGTTTGCCTTTGAACTTCATGGGATGGCAGGACCACTGACCTTGTTCCTTCCCCAACAGCAGGAACCTGCTGCACTGCTTGCAAGGGACGCTGGTGAAGCCCTTTCCAGCCAAGCCTGCCGTATGCTACCAAACAGCAGCAGCTTCTGTCTACCCAAACATGTTGTGTAGTCATTTTTTTTGTGCCACCTTGAGAGAAAGACTGGGAAAATCAAAGCCCTTCCCCCATATGTTATCTACTCCTCACAATCACCCCAGGACATATGCAGGGGAGCTATTACCCTCCCCTTGTAAGAGGAGGAGCCTGACTAAGGAGCGTGAGTACCAGGGAGGGGCAAGCAACCAGACTTGCTGAGACTCAGGTCTGAGTGCTAAGTGAACACCACCACCCACGGGCCTGGTGGACGTGTGTGGGGCATCTCTGTCCTTGGGTCCCCACCTTGTCATAGAGGGTGCCCACCATGCTGTCCTCTTCACTAGTGCCCAACAACTGGGCCAGCAGCTTGTGCCCGAAGTGAAGATAGATGAGTCCCGCACTGCTCAGCTTGGTCTGCCAGGGCTTCCCAGGGGACAGGGAGCTCATTGTCTCAGTGAAAGACCTGAGGAGCACAGGGAGATGGATGAGGTGAAGGGGTTGGCCCCAGTTACCCCACAGTGTGTGTGTACACACACAGACATTTGTGGGATGGTGTGTGCGTGTGAAGAGTACTGCACAAGTTGGGGGGAGAAAGCTCTACTGGGAAGGCTTTGGATTTTCCTCAGGGATCAACATGGATCCTGGCTTGGAATCTCCCTGCCTTCAGAGAGTTCACCATCAGCTGAAGGCACACAGACACACAAATACCCAAGCCAAGTAGTCTTTAGATACAGACTAGGGGAAGGGATGAGGAAAAGCTTCTGAGAAAAAAAACCCTTTAGGTCAGTCCTGAAAAATCAGTGGGAAACAGCATTCCAGGCAGAAGGAAAAAATGTGCAATAATTGAGACAGGTGTCTTTACGGAACTGCAAGGAAAGCAGCTTGGGGTTGAGAAGTGGGTAGCACAAGATAAAGCTGTAAAGGCAGGCAGGGGCTAGATTATGGCAAGCCCTGGATATCATGCTTAAGAATTTGGACTTTATCTGTAGGTAATGGGAAGCCACTGAGGGGTTTTTAAGAAAGCAAATGCATGTTTAAAAGAGCATTGTCCCAGCCAGCATGGAGAATGGATGCAGGGAGATTACCTGTGATGGTTCAGGTGAGTGAGGATGGCAGGAATTTGAACAGCAGTGGGGCAGAGAATAGAGAATAGGTATGACAGATGTTAAAGAAGGAGAAACTACAGCTGTGATTTCCAGATACTAGGCTATCAGAATCAACTCGGACTCATTTTGTAATGATTTTTATTATTAAAAATTGAAGTAAATACAAAAGAGTAATTAATTATCAAATACACATAGGTAAAGAGTAGTGATAGAATAACCCCCAGATAAAGTTCAAAAACAAGCAAAACTGAACAATACACGGTTGATAAAAAGTCACTAAGGAAGTCCATGAAGGAAAAGCTCAGCAGGGACAATCATTGAGGGATTTTGATGAGAATAGGGGCTTGAGGAAAGGCAAAATGATTGGAATGGCACTGTGGATAATGGGCTACCCTCAGACAAGAAAGATTTCCCAGGGAAAGAATGTAAGTGAAGTATTAAGAGTATACACATCTGAACCATCCTGGTTCCATTCCACAATTACAAGGCCCAATCATCCTGAGGTGGGGCAGCAAGGGCAGATGCATGGATTAATCCCGATAGGGTATTAGTTAGGGTGATGACTGTCTCAGTGCGAAAAAAGCCTCCCTAAGGCAAAGGTGGTAAGGCAGGAGGGGCCTAAGGGACTGGCTGATGGGGGGGGGAGGGTCAAAGGAGGTGTGGGCTGACTCGAGGGCTCAGGCAGGTGAAAGGCAGGCAGCTGGGAGGCAAGGCTGTAGTCCCCGAGGGGCAGAGGCATTTGATTTCAGTGCTGAGGCAGTTCCCTTCGCTGACACGGATTCACGGTATTGGATGGCTGAAGCAGAGCACGAAGATGATGAAGTCAAGGTTAAGTAAAGTGGATCTGGAAACTCACCTTTGGTGATGGTCGTAGCGGTGTCTCTGAGGGTCGTACTCGCCACCCACGTCCACCACGATGTCACAGGAGGCCAGTGTTTCGGGATCCCGGGTCCGCACAACCTCTGCATCCTGCGGGGGACATAGGAGATAAGGTGGTTGCCAGGAGTCCAGCAGGGAGAGATCAAGGTTGGGTTTCCGAAGGAGGTGGACCACCCAAGAGCCACGATAAGGGCCCTGTTACGGAAACAGGACTGGGGCGTCCCGGAGGCAGGTGGCGCCAGTTTTGCAAGACCGTACCCGGTACTCAGGCAGAAGGCGAAGCAGCGCGCACGCCAGCACCTCGTCGCAGTGGAAAGTGCCGTTGTGCGTCCCAATTCGGGGCGGTGCCATGAAGTCGCCACGGGAACGTTTAGGGGGCGGGACGGACTCTGGGCCGAGCATGCGGTGCCAAGCTTGGAGAGATACCCGCTGCTGCACCAGCAGCTGTACCAGACGGCGTAAGACGCACCAGCCCATGCGGATCCCCCAGTGGGGGAAGAGGAAGCGCAGACCCGGAAGGGGAAATACTCAAGAGGACCCACTTCCGCTTGCCTGCGGTTTCCACGGCAACTGGCAGGAAGGACTCGCTAGGCAACACAATTTTTTTCAGTTCCTCCAAGGGCCCCCTGGTTGGAGCCTCCAAGATGGGTACCACTTCAACTGGCCTTATCTCACCCTTTTTGCCCACCTCAACCTCCCCTCATCACCAGTCTCTGATTAATGCAAAAAAAAAAAAAAAAAAAAAAAGACCAACATTCTGCCCAGCTGGCACATTTATTAGCATTAAACCCAAGATCCAGAAGGCTTTTTTTCCCAGACCTGCCATGCCCAGAGTTCCAGGCCTCTAAAGCAGGGTCCCTCTGCTCCGTTTCTGCAATAAGCTCAGGCCTTGGCAGTAGCCTGAGCTGCTCCCAGAGCTGTGAGCTGCTGAATCTTCTGGCTCATCATCTCCATGACAGCTGTGGAAGAAAAAGGAAGAGTCAGACTCTGGTTAGAACCTAACCGAGAGTTAAGAAAAAATGACAGGAGTGTTTAAAGACAGAGAAATAACCACTTACAATTTATTTAAATAAAAATTTGAACACAGTGTTTCTCCGTTGGGGGGGGCACACTAACAAAAATTCAGAGTCTACAATGTGTTAAGTCAGTCAATACATTCAAAATGAACAAAATCTGGTTTTTAATGAGTCAGACAAACAAAAAAATTACGTGGTAAACATTTTTGCCTTTAGAAGCGGTTCTCAATGCTGAATATATAATAGAATCACCGGGGGAGCTTTTAAAAAACACTGACCCCTGGGAACTCACCCCCAGAAACTGATTTAGTTGGCCTGGAGTGGGCCCAGGCTTTCTTCTTAAAACTCCCCAACTGTTTCTATGTGCAGGGTTACAATTTACTTAGTTAAGGCAGTGTTTCTTTCTATTCATAAGGCTTTCACTGGCCAGTTCTTTGAGAAGTAGATGGCCCCTTCTTTCTTCCAGAAGGGACCATTCCCTAGAGAAGGATATCATGCTTAGTACAGTGGAGGGTCAGCAAAAAAGGGAAAGGCCCTTAACAAGATGGATTGACAGTGGCTGCAATGATGGGTTCAGGTACAGTAAGAACTGTGAGGCAGGTACAGGCCCAGGCAGAGTTTTGTTCTGTTGTACACAGGGTGCCTCGATGGCACCTAACAACAACCTGTTTCTTTCTTGTGTGTTCATTTACATGCATCTTATCTCCCACTTCATCCCAATGAGATACTCCACAAAAACATAATTTCTTTCCTCTAATCTCTCAAGCCAAGGATCTAAAAGGAGTGGGTACACAGATCTCAAGAATACCACAGATCCAAAGGATAACACATCAAGTTTATACAGGGAAGGAAATTTTCTTTGTTGGTTACCAGGGATGAGAAGAGGAAGGGGGAAGAGAGAGAAAATAGATGGATAATTAAGAGAGGCTTGATATCGGTAAAGAGATTAAAAAAAAAAAAAAAAAGATTAGTCATTAGTTGATAGTTTTTGAAACTAGGTTATGGGCACATGGGGGTTGACTTATTATATTTGTCTTTGTTTTGGTTTGAAATATTTTATAAGTAAATAAATAAAAATACATCAAAATATCAAAGAAAAACAACAACAGTTTTCATCTAACAAAGGGAACACCCTTTTAATTCACACTGCAATCTGTTCTTTATCATGGAGGTCAAAAAGAAGGTCAAGAAGTGCCCCAGGCCAAGCTTACCCTGTTTCATGGCATGCTTCTCCTGCAGGGCTGGCTGGATTTTCTCCATCTGCTTGGTGAGGAAGTCTATCTTCCTCTTGAAGAAGTCCTTGGCATCCTCAGCTGTCTGCACAGGTCAGAGGTACATGTAGGGGTAAGAGCTGACCTCAAGCTGCACCCTAGATCTTCCCCTAAGCTCACTTTCCCTGCTCAAAGGGACATCCACCTTTCCTCCAACTCACCTTCTCTACATAGTAGCCAGTTCCCACATCAATGAGCACATGTTCCACATCATGTAGTTTCCCAGGGACATACATCTAAGAAGGAAGGATTAAGGGAAAAACTAGCCCAGCATGAGCCACAATTCCCTGTCAGCCAGCCTGCTTGGTCTACTAAGACACTGCTTTTCTAAAATGCTGTTAAGATACAGAGACTGAATAATCTAGAGGCTTTAGAACTACACCTATAAACTCCAGATACGGAGAGACAGGGGAAAAAAAAAAAAAAAAAAGTTGGTTCCCTATGGAAAAATAACATAATGGAACACTCTCTTGTCCTGATCCCCATCTCCTACCCTTCAAGCAGTTTTTGTGAATTCTTCCCACTAGTCCTTTCAGAAAGTCTAGATAAAAGGATGTTTTCCTACTGCTCTAGGTAGTAAAAGTGAAAAGGCAGACTCATTTTCCGTCAACACTTCCAACATGTACTTAATGGATTTAACATTCTTTTTAAATCATCCTCAACTACACCGCTAGCCACATGTTCCTCTTTTAGCCTATCAGTTCTCAGACTACAGATCCCCCACTGCCATCACTCATTCATTCAAGTAAAACAATCACTCATTCAAGTAAAAGGTGGACATATCTCTGTTCTCAGTAGCAGTTTAGGAATACAGCCACAATTAAGCTGAAATTGAGGATTAATAAACAAAGCCAACCCTTCTGTTTGTATGTTCTACACTTGTATTGCTTGTATCTTATACATTACTAGCAAAAGTGTAAACCACCAATTTTATCCCCATATTATATTAATGTCTTCAAACAGCAAGGGGAAATATCACACTTCACCTCTACATACTCCTTGGTACTCACAAGGCACTAGCTGGATGTTAGATAGGGGAGCTACAAAGTGTGTATAATAAGAGGAGTGTTCCCAATATCATGAGAAGGAGGGGGCCTGGAATCATCTAATTTGCCCCCCCCCCCCCCCCGCTTTTCTCTAAGGGGAAGGAAGGCAGGAGAGCAGTTCATGTGGAAAGGATACAGAACTTGTCAGTGGGACAAGTAATTCTTTCCCTGTGAAAGCAATGAAGACAAACACCTGGGGAAGGTTGGAAACTCCAATGTCAAGACGTTAAAGGGAGTTGCAACATGGCACAGTACCCAGAGTAGAATGAAAACAACAGAAACAGGAGCAGAGGAATGTTCTATACACTTCAACTATAGGTAAGCAACACGCACAGGGTGAATAAAGCTTTGTACAACATGTAACAGATCGCTCTGTCGCCTTGGGTAAAGGAAAACTGGATTAGGAGGTGACATGAGAGCCGCGGGATCGCCACATTCCCCAGGTTGCCCTCACCCGCCTACCCCATACCCTCGTTGCTCTTGTTCAGCACGTTCAGACAGTCCTTGGCTTCCACATACTTGGTCTGTACTACCTTGAGCTGGGCAATAGACGTGGACAAGAACTCCACTTCCTGCACAGGACGGGAAAGAGGATCAGTATAGGGGTTTGAGAGTAGCGGAGCACACTGGAGAGGAGGCGGGACCTGGAACAAGGTTGGGATTTCATCTGGGAAGGGAAGCCGCCTAAACTAGTAAGGAATAAGGGCGAGGGTGCAGCTTGGGCGGGGGGAGTGGGGAAATGTGAGGCATAAAAGGGACGTCTAAGGGGCTCGTCCCCACCTGGTCCAGCTGGTTCTTGAGCATTTCTAACTGCGGCAGATTCAGCTCCGTGATGTTAACTGACTGCGCCATGTTGGGAAGGAAGACTAACGAAAGGAAAACCGGCGCGGCAGGCAACGCTCTAGCCGCCCACTGCACATCTCTATGCCTACGCCAGGAAGCCTCACTGCGCCAGGCGTCTCTATGATCGTGCGTCCCGGAAGAAAAGGAACTGCTGGAACCTCTCCTGGACTCGCCTTTGATTAGAGTTTTAACGACGTGTCATTTTATAAAATAGTCTAAGACTCGCGCAGCAAAGTTGTAGCAAACAGTATTCCTGCCCCTCAGGAACTTAAAGATAAGACAAGTACTGAGGACCTAAGCACAATATTGCAAAGGAATGCATGCTACTCCATGTGGGTGGTAGTAACTGACAGGCAAGGAGGAAGTTCTTTGGGTGGGGGAGTAGTATCGTGAATATATGGTGCTTTTGGCAGGTGATGAGGAGACTGGAAACAGAACAATAAGGAGGAGCCATTGTCAACCAACACGTGCAGCCCAGAGTTTATTTCTGAACAATCTGTTTTACCATGTGCTGAATGAGTTATCCACCACCCAGTTTGTCTCACTGTGGTAGCTGGCATCTTGCTATGATGTTGGAAACTATGCCACCAGCATTTTAAATACCACCAGGGTCACCCATGGTGGACAGGTTTTGGTGCAACTTCCAGACTAAGAAAGACTAGGATGAAAGGCCTTGTGGTCTGCTTCTGAAACTTAACCAAGGAAAACCTTCAGACCGTAACATTGCCAACTCATTTGCTTTGGTCAAGTCATTAGGAGGGATCCATCAATCACTGGAGGAGGACATCATATTTCGTGAAGTAGAGAGCCAGGAAGAGTGAGGGAGCCCCTCAGTGAGGTGGACTGGCACAGTAACCGTGATAGTGGACCCAAAAATGCTGGTACTTGTGTTGTAACTATATGGTCACCACGAACCAGCCTGGACTTGGTGGCAGCTAACATACATATATATGAGGGAAACACAAGAATGTAAAATGCTGTTTGTGTTTTGGATGAACGTGCAGTCTAGTTGGGAAGACATAAAACATCCATAAGAATTCCATACACAATCTGCTGCTAAAGGATGTAGCACTAACAAGTGTTAACAGCTATACCAGGAAGAGAACATCTGTCTGTAATATCCATTTAGGAGAGGGGCATGGAAACCAAGGACTAAAGCTAGTGTCTCCCAGAATACAGCCATGGTGGCCAAGACACTCCCAATGGGTCTATCTCTACCCTTCCTTGGACCTCTGTCTCCATTTAAGAATACTTAGATGCTCCTCTCTTCTTTGCTGAAGCCTAGCCAAGCCAGCTTTATTCTGTGGCTTTGTCCTTCCCAAGGCTTTCACACCTGAAGTCCTACAAGCTGTTTCCACCCACTTAAATACCACATGGTAGGAATGGGGCAGTAATCTTGCCTTCAGATGTTCTCAGATGAGTTACATAAAACAGTTTAAATAACCTATCTTTATTATAGTTTATTATAGTTAAGTTTTCGTATAAAACAGTGGAGAAAATCATTTAAAATATCCTAAGGGTTAAATCTAAGTTTGGAGGTAGAACAGTCACATGGCTTCTATCAGAGATATGACAGTTCCAATGGGTCACCGGAGAGAGACGGGCAAGCCATAGGCTACTGGTGCAGCTCCGATAAGATACTTGAGTCGGGGAGCCTGGCGGGCCTGGTTCACATAGCAGAGAAGAGGGGCCCCTGGGCCTGCTCCAAGCCACCCCTGCAGCAGAGCTGCCATGTAACGGTCAATGTCACGGTCAGTCACATCCCAGAGATTACCCAGAAACAAGGGGCTGGGAAGAGAAAGAAGAAATACAAAGTAAGGGCTCTGAAACAGAAATATATAGGAAAATGTGATTGGGTACATATAAGGTGAGTACAGAGGACTGAACTAATGAGGAACTCCCTTGGCCCACAGTTCTAAGGGTTAAAGGTCCAAGCATGCCAGGGAGCTAAGATGGGAGGAAAATGGGGCATAAGAGAGGTGCAGTTCAGAGTTCAAAACTGGGAAAGAACCCAGAGTGGGAGCAAGAGTCTTAATGCTCTAGGATGGGTCTGGCCCCTTGAGACTCACCAGCCAGCCATGATGTACTTGAGCACAATGCCAGCCCCCTCTAGGTTTCCATGCACAGCCAGGGCTGCACTGCTACAGCCAAACAGCAGGGCCACTGCCTGGCAGCTCAGCCGCATAACAGTCTGCCCATCCAGGAAACGGGCACCAGCCCCATGTCCTGCATAGCTATAGTAGAAGGGGGTGAGATGAGATAAGCACCATGTCTCTGCCCTAAAGCAAACCATGATGGTCCTGTCCTGGAATGCCCCTCCCCCCACCTCCCTGCCCTGAACACTCACATGTATAAGTCATGCTCTGTGAGGGCTGCCTGCACCTGCTCCAGGCTTGGGATCTCTCCAACCACCCCTCTCCAGCCAGCTTCACTGTAGGGAAAAGGCAGGGATAAGAATAGGGAATAGCATGGCAGGGGTCATATGGCAAAGAAAGCAGAAGGGACACTAAGTAGAAGGTGGACTACAGCATAATTCTGAAGACAGGGACATGCTGTCTCTACCCTTACCACCCTCTTTTCTTACTTTCACCCCCCTGACCTGCTAAAAGTGGCTCGAAATTTTTCCTCTGTGCTTGACAGGTTGTTGTGAGGGTTTAGGATGTAGAAGGTACTGCGTGGATCAACACCTTGACTCAGCACTGATGAGGCCCCAGACTGAAGAGGAAACACTGGTGATCAGGATCGTCTGGCCAACCTCCGGTATACTCCAAGCCCTTTTCCATTTCTGACTCATTCCTAAGACCCACTCATGTCTCTAGAGCTCTCTGCCTCTGCTTTCCTTCAGGTCTCCCCCAATAGTCAATTATTCCCAGTCCCATCCCTTGAGCCCCACCTCTTTGATAATGGAGTAGGTGAGTAGGAAGCGGAAGGAGGGCAGACGGGTGACAGGCAGTGCCCGGAGGCTGGGCATATTCTCCCATGGCAGCTTTTGCAGGTCCTGGGCAAAGAGCACTTGGAGGTTACTGTCCTAGCCAGCTATATGCAACAGGCAGAAGGGGCGTGGGGGCTGGGATGGCACCCAGTGCCCATGTGCCCTTCTAGCCTCTAGTGTCTTACCTTGTCTAGCACCAAGACAAGGTGCCTATTGCTTGGCACCGTTGAACCCTGCAAACGTCCCACTGCCTCACTCAGGAGGTTTCGGGCTCGCTCGGGCTGGGTCAGGCACAGCCCGTAGGCCAGGGCCTGAATGTCCTGAGGGGTGAGAACACTGGCACCACTGAGCAGGATCTGCAGAGAAATAGTGTTTAGTGGGTGCCATCAGCCACTGACAGTGGCCTCTTTGCTGGTGGAAAAGAGTTAAGTCTACAGGTTAGCTCTTTCTTCCCCTCCCTGCTTTAACTCACTTTCAGCAGAGTGGGATCAGGATACTTCCAGCCACATTCCTGCAGCAACTCTTGTAAGCGGGAAGCCTCTTGGGCAGGGCCTGAGTCCTCCCCGGATGGCAGCAACAGCCCCCGCCAGCAGCCCAACACATATTTGTCTAGGGACGTGATGAGAACCTGAAGGCGGGGGAACAGAATCTCCAGTCAGAGGGGAGGCGGAGTTTCTTTCCCCATGGGCACCAACATTCTGGAAATAAGGAAATGGGTTTTCCATTGTTTTATCTATCTGCCAGTCATAGAAGACAAGAAGCTAGAAACATTTATTTGCTGGGACTCTGGGAAAGTACAGTATATTATTTATCACTGTATTCTGACAGATGTAAACCAGCTGCTGTCGAGTCAGGTCTGACTCATGGCAACTCCATGTGTATCAAAGTCAAACTGTGCTTCACAGGGTTTTCACAGCTGTGACCTTTCTCAAGGTCGCCAGGCCTTTCTTCGCAGGCCCTTCTGGTCAAACCACCAACCTCTCGGGTAGCAGCCAAGCACAACTGTTTGTGCCACCCAAGTCACAACGAGGGGTGGAGGCTGGGCAATGAAAACTAAAGCTGGGGAGCTGATACTTGGGTTTACATCCTTTTTCTTCTATGTATCTTTAAATACTCCCTTCCCAACTCCTTCAAGTTTTGGGATCTTGTGTAAAGTTTTCCCCAAGTAACATAATTTTCTCATTTCTGCATTACTCGTCCATTACTCTGACTCAGAAAGAAAAGACACTGGCATCCCCTGGGCCACTCCTAGGGCAGGTCTGCCCCCACCCACCCTGGGGGCACCCACCTCCATCCGATGGTCCAGTTCAAGCCGCCCTGTCCACCATTCTCGCTTGTCCGTACAGGTGCTGTTCTCTTTTTGTTCCTTCTGGATAGCATCAAATTCCTTCAGAGCTGCACTTAGAGGAAGCTGTGAGAGATGAGGTTGTGCGATCTCTGCTTGGTTGAATGACTATCATCTCTCCATCCCCCATCCAGAGAATGTCAGCAGCCTGACCAGAAGCCCATCCCAGCCTTACTTTACCCTGTCTCAGAAAACCTACCTTGCTTTGGGCAGTGGGGATCTGCACAGTGACTGGGGGATTGTCTTTTTCTAGCCGGGTCAGCAGAAGGGTGTTACCCACAGTTCCAGGTTGCAGGGTGGCCAGGGCCAACACACACACCGTCACCCCTGACATAGAGAACATACCCTGAGTCATTTCAGCTGTTGCGAAGAATTTTCTTGCCTGGTTTCTGCATGAAAAGGAGCTCTGGTGACGTAGTACCTAAGGTATTTGTCTGCTAACCAGAAGGTTGGTGGTTCACACCCACCAGCCACTCTGCAGAAGGAAGATTGGGCAATCTACTTCCGTAAAGATTTACCACCTAGGAAACCCAATGCAGTTGCTATGAGTCAGAACTGACTCAATGGCGGTTTGTTCTGCATAATTCCCATCTATCACTCAAGACGATCCACAAAGTCTTCAAGAAGTCTTCCCTGGCCATGTGGTTCAAGGTGCATTCCCTTGCCCTAACAGCTCCCTATGGACAGAAACCATGTCTTGTATTTCTTTGTGACTCTCACAGCAACAAACAAAGGGCCTTGCATAAAGAGAGACTCAAATCATCTGTTAATGCATTTCGTGTTAGAGCAGGAATACCCCACCCAAATAGCTCAACTCACCCCAAGAAAGACACTGAACTTGCTGCTAACTCAGAGCTGAGTTTGAGAAAAAGGAAAGATTTCCAGATTTAACGTTTATCTGTTTGGTGAGAAAAACAAAATGCTAACAGAAAAATCTATGACATGTCTTTCCATAAGGATCATAAACCCATGTAAATTAACAAATGCCTTAAGTGCTTTCATTCAACTTCTCAGTAAGAAGATGCATAAAAGGACAAAAGAGCAGGCCAGAAGCCTGCCACTGTACCACTGGGCATCAGAGCCAAGCGCTCCTTGAAACTCTCTTTTTCAGGCTGGGGGAAATGGCCAGCTCCTGAAGTTCTGAAGGAAAACAGGTGCTGAATATGGGCCAGGGGGACATCTGCAACTTGCTCTTGGAGACTCAGCCTCTGTAGCTGCTCTGCCACTTCGAGTGATCCTTGGTGCTTCTGTGCCCTGCTGCAGACAATACAGGTGGGGGTGAGCTTCCCACTCTTGGGAAATCTAGACCCTCCATCTAGTTTGTCACAGCCCAGATCCCCCTGCTCTTAGCAGAAGCCTTAGGGATGGTGGCACTCACCTGAGCTGTCGATGGAGGTGGGTGAGCAGCTGGTGGCGACAGGTGATGGAGACAGACTCAGTGACAAGGAAGGCCGTGGCATAGGGATCACGGTGGCCCAGGCACAAGGCCAGGAAGCGGCAGAGGTGGGCATAGAGCCCACTAGGAGGACAGTGACTGACCCCGCGGAATGCAAGGCTCAGTGAGTCACAGATGGAATCCAGGGTAGAGAGACCTAGAGGAAAGTCAAGACACTTCTACAGATGAATCCCCTTCTTCCTAGCTGACAGGAGTTTTCTGAGAAGGAGCCCCTATCTCCCAAGTGGACAGCAGCTGCTACCATTTACCAAGGGTGATGTGCGACTTATGTAAATCAATTCACTCCATCTTCCCACAAACCCTGACAGTAGGTGCTACTTCCATTTTACAGTTTAGAAAATAGAAGCTCAGAGAGGCCAAGTGACTTTCACATAGCCAGTAGAGTGAGAGTGCTCAGATTCACACCCACGCTCAAAGGCTACCGGAAGCGCAGACAGATTGAAAAGAAATTAGGATCAAGAGACGTAGAGGCACGCCCTCTGAGGGACCAATCTTCAGGGGTCAGTATATTCACCAATAGCTACAGCGGCTGGAGGGAGCTGGAACTGAGGGCGATGGTCCTTGTCATGTTTCTTATCTGGGCACAGGGTAAGCAACTCCTCCTTGCTGAAATCCCGTCTCAACACCTCACATTCTCCTATGGCTGCATCAGGTCCTAGGGCTGATGTCTGCATACCTGGGAAGAGGATATGACTTTTTCAGAGTTCTCTCCTTTTATTGTCCCCATTGTTTTTCCTTTCAGGAACCAGTCCCTCAGAGCCAGCAAAAGAATTTCCTTTCTGAACTGCTGCTGGCACTGGCAATTTCTTCAGCTTTGGTCCCACAACAACCCCCAAGAAACATACCCACCTTCTAGCTCCCACCTTTACCATCATACCTGAGGCTGAGTCTTCCTCATCAGAGCCTCTGAGGATCTCAGAGCTCATTTCCACCTGGTTGTCAGTCACTTCCTCCTCAGGGATGGTCCTCATGATCTCAGGGCCCCTCTCCTCACAATGTTCTGATACCACCTTCTTGGCCCTCCAGCTCCTGCCACTCAGGCCAGGGTGCCCAGGGGCGCTATTTGCAGTAACTGCTACATTAGTCTTCGAGCTGGAGCCCTTCCTAGTCCGGCCCCGGCCCCGGCCCCGGCAAGCAGAGCCACGTCTCTTAGGTTCCTCTGTAAGCTGTGTCTCAGCTGAGATAGGGTCTTCCAGGTCACTGTCATCACTGAAGTTCACCTGGGATGATGGGAAAAGAAGAAGTGCTGAGAGGCCTTCAGTAGCAATACATCTTCTGACAGCAGGTGGCACTATGGAGTCACCACCCAAGATTTAAGAATTAACCTCCCACAGATACTCCCCCACTCTCAATCAGAGGCAGTTATTCTTGCCTGTGGAGGGAGGGAACAGAAGATTAAGAAGGATGAAAAGGGAGAGGAACAGCAGTTAAGGGTCTGAAACAAAGGCAGACCTGGAACTAGGTTTTACTGTGGAACACCTAGGGGTCAGGCAGATAACAGGAGTGGCTAAAGTCCCTCTGGACCCTGGGGATCTATTCCAGGGGACCCTTGCTCTGTGGGACACTCTTCCTCAAGAACATGCACACCACACACTATACAACCTAACCACAGTCCCACCTCACCTTGAGGCGTGTCTGGACCCGGTGTTGTACCCTGGGAGCCTTAGGAACCTCAGGCTTGCTCTTCACTGGGAGGACCTCTTCAAACACAGTAAAGGGTATGCGAGGGCCAGCCTGCCTAACCCGGCCCAGGGGCTTGGGTGTACAGGGTGGTCCTCCACTTTCTAGACTTTTTAGAGAGGTATTATGGTAGGGCAGAGGAGCAGAGATCACCTGCTGGCGCCCTGGTCCCAAATGTTTTTTGCTCCGAGTCTTAGAGGGCTCTGAGGCTGGGGGGCTTTTTACTACTGGGGGCTGCCAGCTCCAGGAGTTTGCAAAAAGTTGGGTAGTACAGCAATTGAGGCCAGCCAGCTTTGCAAGGGCACGAGTCAACAGCAGGCTGGCTTGCCAGGGCTCCAGGAGTGGTATCTGTGCTGCCACAAACTTCAGCCCTGACTCTAGAACCTTCCCCAGGATCTTGCCTGATGGCTGCTTGAGGCCCTCCAATGCCAGCTGTGTGTATGCTTGAGCCAAGATCTCATGCAAGAGACTTGGGACAGGGGAGGGGGGTGATCTGTGATTCAGGGAAGCTTGTAGAGCTTGAGCAATGCGCTTAGTCGCTGCAGGGCAACCTTTCAGTATAGCCTGCAAGAGGTCCAGACCCTGGGCCAGGTGGCCCATGGCCAGCCTCACCCCTGCTGTGACCATTGCCCAGCGCAGACAGACAGATGAAAGGACAGGGCTGGCACACAGTGAGCAGTCACAGGTGGGTGGGTGGGACAGGAAGCCGGGGCTGGGCTGGGGCTTGATTTTTAGGATTGGGGAGGATATAGTAGAAGGTGCTGTGGGGCCAGGCTCCTTGGCTACAGTGGCCACCAGCTCCAGAGCAGGGCCTCTTAGGAAAAGCTCCTCCTCTGGGAGCTCTGGAAGACAGGGAACCTGGGCCTGCTGCCTCCCCTTTTGAGGATGGACCTTCTTCACAGAGTCCGGGTGCTGGGCCACCCCACCAAACTCTGGAAAGAGAAGCAAAACAGGATTACAATACTGGGAGAAATGGCACGAAGAGCTTCCTGAACCACCCAGGAGCCTAGCCCCTGCTAAATGGGTTATTTGTTTATAAACCACATCATGCTTGGTAAGGTAGAGGGAAGACCCTCAACAAGACAGACTGACAAAGTGGCTAAAATAATGAGCTCAAACATAGCAACAATTGTGAGGAAGGCACAGGACCAGGCAATGTTTCATTCTGTTGTACACAGAGTCACTGTGAGCTGGAACTGACTTGATGGCATTTAATAACAACATACTAAATATTATTATGGCTTATTAATTTTTAGTTAAAATTTCTAATGTTTTCTTCATACATAACAATGAATCAATACATACCTCTGTAACCCATAAAGCCCCCACATTTACAACTAAGAAGGCCACATGGCTCGGGAAACCAAGCTGGTACCAGGAGACCCAAGTATTATTCCTGGCTCCTGCCCCTAAAGAGACCTGTGATTCTGGCCAAAATATTGAATATATCTCAGATTTTCTCCCCCCGCAAAAAAAAACCCTCTGTGTTTTCATGTGACTCCACAGGGTTTTTGTGTGGTCAAATAAGACATTAGAGGTAAAAGTGGGTCACATAAGAAAAAGTACACCATAAGTGCAATGTTTTATTATTAGCTTAAGCCCTCCTGAGGACAGAACATCTATGCTATCCAACCCAAGTAGCCACTAGTCATGTGTGGCTACTGAGCATTGGAAATGTGGCTCGTGTGATCAAGGAACTGAATTTTAATTTAATTTAAATATAAACAGCCAAAATGTACTGAGCGGCAAGAGAACTAGAACCAGTTAGTCCTGGTCAGGCCCTGGAATCAGAGTAGAAGGGAACCAAATTCAGGACCATAGTCGCAGGGGACATCAAGCTCAGTTGGCATAACACATTACACAAAACACAGTTCCACCTCCTACTTTGGCGAGTACCGACTGGGATCTTAAAAGCTTGCAAGCAGCCATCCAGATGCAACGATGGGTCTCTCCTCGCCCAGAGCAAAGAAGAAGAAAACCAAAGATTCGTTTCCAAAAAAATAAAATACTTGGGAATAAATCTTACCAGGGACACAAAACACCTGTACAAAGAAAACTATAAAAGACTACTTCAAGAAACCATAAGAGATAATAACATATCTGACAAGGGACTTATCTCTAGAATTTATAGAACACTCCAACACCTCAATAACAAAAAGACAAACAATCCAATTAAAAAATGGGC